CAGTGGGCAGGCTCGGCTCGGATTTGGACCCAGGGAATCACCCTTGCCCGCGCCGCCGCTGCCCCAGGGCCGAGAGGGGCCCACAGTGGAGCCCCTTGGCCGGGACATTACCCTAAGGGCGCTCGGGGCTGAGGGGGAGCCCAGATCGGCCGCAGTTCCCCACGCGTCCCCGTGGGTTCCCAGGCCCAGGGCAGCACCCCAGCCACCAGCACAGCACATGGGACAGGTGGGCCACACCCACAGCCCTTTCCCCAAACTCCCGAGTGTAAGAGGGCACTGCTGGGGGTTCGCTCGGCCCTCCTCTCCTGTCCCCACGGATGCTGCTGTCAGGGCCCTCCACGGGAGGTGGCAGGTGGGCTCTGCCCCTGGGGCTCCGGTCTCTTTTGAGTTTGAACTGTCTTGGCTTGGGCTGTGTCCAGCCCCCCTCTATCCTGGCCCCTATGTCCCTGGGGGCCCCTGGACTTGCTATGGGGAACCCCTATAGGGGCTGGCTCCCTGCACCCCTCCACTGGGAGAGTGTCCAGGCACAGGACTAGAGGCCAGAGGTTGAGTCCCCCGCCACGGAAGCTTGTGATTCCGGGACCATTCACCCAGTCCCAGGGTAGCCCTGTCTCCAGACCCCCAAACCCTGACTCTAGGCCTTCTCTCCACTGGCCTTGGCCCTGCTCCCTGACAAGCATACTACCTCATCACTTGTCTTCTGTCCCACCTACAGGTGTCTGCCCCTCGGCCCACCTCTCTGGGGACCTTCCCCCAACCCCAAAGAACCTGCCCCCAGCCAGATCAAGCCATTGCAGTTCTGATAGCGTGGACATGTCTGTCACTTGTCAATCCTCATGGCACCACCCATACACCTGGGCCTTTCCACAAACCCCACCACAGGGCACCCCAAAATTCCTATGGTCTGACAGGGTTGTTAACTTTATTTTAAAAAGACTATGGAAGACAAATATTATGCATAGGACATTTCAGTACCAAAGACACAGAGGGCTACAGTGGCCCTCTACAGTCTTTAAATAGTGTGCAGGAAGCAGGGGGGGGGGGAAGAGCTGTCCTTCCTGTCGCCAGGGCAGGCCCCGACCTACATCCTTACCACCCCAACCACACCAGGCCCTGCCCACAGCCCCTCTGAAACCTCTGGGGTTAGTGGCTCCCGAAGACCACTCCCCTCAGAAACCCCTCAGTGACCACAACCCCCACCCCCATCCAGATCCCACTGCCCAGGAGACTGCAAGGGGAGATCTGCTGCTTTGGGGACAGCCTGCTCCTGGCCTGAAGTGTGTTACAAGGGTACAGGGGAGGCCTCTGAGGGACTGGGTGGTGGGCCTGGGCCATGACCCCACCTGACAGGCCTTCCTCTGTCCACAGCTGACCAGATCCTGGAGAGGAACAAGGGATGTTGGGGACAGGATGGAGCAGGTGAGATTCCACACCCAGGGTCCCCCAAGCTGTGCTTGACCCAGGGGCTGCGTCCATGTCCAAGGGGGCTGGGAACAGATTTTGGACAGGCCAGTAGGAGTGGAGAGCTGGAGTCCATGATGGATGGCCCAGAGTAGGGGCTTGGCTTTGCCAGCCTACGACACAGCCTTGGGCAGTGGTGCCCACACTGCCAGGCGTGCCTGCCAGGATCCATGCCTGTCTGACCCCTGGTGCCCCAGGCCAACCCCATGGTGCTCTGTGGCCATGACCAGAGCCCTTGCATAGGAAGAGGAGAACAAGGGACCCAGGCATTCCTGGGCTGATGATGGCTAAGGCTCCTGCAGCCTGTGGTGGCCCAAGCTCTCCTTGCCACACGGCAGTCCACAGACAGTAGCGGCAACCACATAGTAGGGGCAAGTCTAGGATGCTCCCCTTGGGGGAGGGGTCACAATCGCTGGGTAGGGACCCAGCCATCTTCCTGAGCAGGCCCACCCTTTGAGCAGCTGGAGGGAGACCCCCTTGGGGCCTGGGTGTCGGTGGGGTCACCCTTCCAGGCCACACTGGCTGACTCTACAGCTCCCCTTCCTCAAAAGCGATTCATAGCCTGTTTGCTTCTGCTGTGATTGTCATCACTTCCTGAACCCCAACCCAGGCTGTCCTGCCCCAAAGCCCACCCACACCCCTCACCCGCTGTGTTCCTCATCTTGAAGCAGTCATGCTGCCTTGGATCCTAGTACCCTGGGTCACTTCAGAGAGGCTTTGGTGAGGTGTGAGATGTGGGCAGCGACAGCCACAAGGACCCTGGCCCTGGCCCTGGCCCTGCCTTAGAGCCTCTCCTCTCAGTCCATGCAGAGCCCAGACCATCTTGCAGTCTGGCCTCTCCTCGGTATTATCTCTCAGATGAGGAGTCTGAGAGTTAGAGAGCCCCACCACATGAAGTGTAAGCCATGGCAGCCCCACAACCTGGACACCAGGAAGGGTCCTGACCCAGCTGCTGCTTTCCGAGGCTGCAGGCGGTGCCTCACACCGCCCCCTCACGGCCAGGAGTAGGCAGCATGTTCTGTGCAAGCCTAGAGCTGGAAAGGAGGGCGGAGCCGAGGCGGGACTGGTGGAGGCAGGTTGCTCCCCTGCCATCTGCCCACCTCAGTTATGATCCTGGTAGAGATAACCCCAGGCCAAGCCAGGAGGCTTAGGAAGGCTGAATAAAAGAGAAGCCCCCCGCCCAGCCCTGGGCAGATGGGCATCCGGAGGCTGGCAGCGTCCAGATCAGAGTTTACAGAGCCCCCTTGGGCTGGACACCCTGCTGGTGATCCCCGAAGAAGGCAGGTGGGTCCCAAAGGAAGTGGGGCTCTGGCCAATAGATAATCCGCCCAGTCAGTCAGAGACCAGGCCTGGTTCCAAATGCCGCGTTTACTGCTGGGATAGTGCGTGGGGCTGGAGGCACTGGCTGGGCAGGCCCAGGACCAAGGAGCAAGGATGCAGATGGGGCAGGGAGACGGTGCTTGAGCTGCAGGGCCACCCCTCCCTGAGGAGGAAAGCCCTCCGAGAACTGCAGACTTGGCCCCGACCTCAGGGAGGACACAGCACCGCCTGCAGGTCCTTGGGCAGAGAGCCGATGACCGTCTGGATGTACAGCCGTGCCCGCTGCAGCGTCTCCTCCTTCACCGGGAGCTGGTGGGCCTGGGCCCGTACCTACAGGGGTGCAGCTGTCAGGTATGTGCACCTGGCCGCCCCACTGGCGGCTGCTAGGGACGTGTCTCACCAGCTTCTCCCGAAGTTTCAGGACCAGGTCTACGATCTCCACTTCGGACTTGTCCTTCATCCAGGCCTCGATGTTCTGCCAGGACCAGAGAACGCGTGTCACTGAGGCTCCGCCCCTCCCCGGCCCCACCCAGCCTCGCTGAGGCCACACCCAGCCTCACCAAGGCCCCACCCCTCCCTTCTTGCCCACACCCAGCCTTGCCGAGGCCACACCCAGCCCCACCCAGCCTGGCCAAGGCCTCACCCCTGGCCACACCCAGGCCCACCCTCACCGCCTCGCAGATTGCTTCCAGGTGCAGTGCCTCCAGCTTCTGCGCCATCTCTTTGTGCCGCTGCCGGTACCAGCCATCAAAATGGGGGGACTTGAAAAACCGCCTGCAGGTGGCCAGAGATGGGGCTGATATAGTGTGATGGAGGGGTGGCAACGAGACCCCTGCCACCAACCCTCTGACCCTGCCCACCTGTACAGGCCCGGCCAGTCGCCCTTGAGGATGCAGGTGAGCTGGGGCCCCGTGTGTTCCAGGCTGCGCAGGAAGTCATCCTGGCGGAAGGGGCGGATCTGGGGAGGCGTCTGCGAGAGACTCAGGTGAGCACAGGCTGCCCGGATCCTCCTCCTACCAACAGCCCCATCCGCTGCGACAAACCCCTCCTCTGGGCCCCCATCGCTCTGCCAGCCCTCCCTTCCCACTGCCGCCCCGGGCCACCCCTCGAGCCCCAGGGCCGCCTCTCCAGCCCCGCTCCTGAGGATGCTGGGTTCAGGGCACCCACCTTCCAGGGCGTGATGCTTCTCTGCAAGGGCATGAGGCTGGTCAGGTAGTGCTCCTGGGGGGAGGGGAATGAGCGCCAGGGCCTCACCCCCAGCCCCGCCGCGGCCCCGCCCCTCTGGCCGGGCCTCATCCCCAGCCCCGCCCCGGCCCCGCCCCTCTGGCCGGGCCTCACCAGGGGGAAAATGAAGCTCTGTGTGAGCTCCAGGAGGTGTCGCCTCAGCAGCGCGCTCTGCACGTCCACTGGCCGTTGCTTCTGCACACCCTGTGGGGGCGCTGCGCTGAGTGGTCGCTCACGCCCACCCGGTCTCGTGCACCCCCCTCAGACCCAGTGCCCCCCGGCGCCCCCAGTTCACCCCCCCACCCCCGCGCTCTCATGCCACTCCCTGTTGTGCCCCGGACCCCGCAGCCCTACCTTGAGCAGCCGCTTCAGCAGCGCCCTGTCCCGGTGCAGGTGGGCCGTGTATGCCGTGTACAGACCTACAGAGGGGAGGTGCTGCCTGTGTGTCTCCCCGTTCCCCGGAAGCACCCCCTGGGCTATGCCTCCCGGTTTCACCCCCACCCTGAGACATGAAGAGGCTGCAGCAGACCAGGCCTGAGGCCTGGCTGCCCGGCTGTGTGAAGAGGCCAGTGATGTGGGAGAAGCACCCCTCCCAGAACAGGGCTTGGCCCCAGGGCGGCACAGACCTGGCTTGGGGTCGAGGGTCTTCAGGCGGGAGGGCTTCTTCAGCTTCACCTGCTTAGGAAGGTCCCCTGCAAACACACGCCACTTCAGGGCCAGGGCCCAGGGGCATATTTCTACCTGTCCTCAAGGACCCTGGCTGGCCTCACCTGACATTTTCGGCTCCCCGATCCGGAGAATGTGGGGCCAGTGCTGGAGTATTTTGATAAAGAAAGGGTTTGTGACTCCCAGGACCACGTTTGGTCTAGAGAGAGAGAGAGGGAAAGGAAAAGAGGCAGGCAGACAGAGGCCCAGAGAGGTGGGAGGCTGAGGTTGGAGGGCGAGATGGCAGGAGAGCAGGGGCCCGGGAAGCAGGGGGCTGGGGAGGAGGGCGAATTGGGAGAGAGGCTAGCGGGGGGCCCAGGGAGCAGGGTGGTGGGGAGGAGGGCGAGGTGGGAGGAGAGCAGGGGCCCAGGGAGCAGGGAGTGGGGAGGAGGGAGACAAGGCTGGCAGGCTGCCAGGGAGCAGGGTGGTGGGGAGGAGGGTGAGGTGGGAGGAGAGCAGAGGCCCAGGGAGCAGGGTGGTGGGGAGGAGGGTGAGGTGGGAGGAGAGCAGGGGCCCGGGAAGCAGGGGCCCAGGGAGCAGGGTGGTGGGGAGGAGGGCGAGGTGGGAGGAGAGCAGGGGCCCGGGGAGCAGGGGGCCTGGGGAACAGAGCAGGGCACCCCTGGAACAAGGGACCACGGAGACCACAGAACGGGGTCATGAGAGCCGGGGGGAGCACTTACGGGGCCTGTGTGCGTGTGGTGAACTCCCGAAATTCACTGTCGTGGATGGTGAAGTAGGGGCGGTAGTCACAGCAAAACTTGAGAGGCCTCAGGCAGCTGCAGTCAAGGGGGCAGTAGGGAGGGGTGTGGTGGAGGGCGGCCTGGCCCTTGGCAAGGATGCCCAGGCCCCCCCCCCCCACTGCCCCCACCTGGGCCCTGGATGGGGACAGCAGGGAAGGAGAGGAGGGGCGGAGCTGCCCTCTGCTGGCCCACAGGGGCCCAGCCCCACCCCAACCCTGCACCCCGTTTTGCTGGGCCTAGTACAGGGGGTGAGGCAGGTACCTGGTCAGGGCCAGCACCATCTCTGAGGACATGGCGGGTGAGGGTGCCAGGACCACCAGGGGCTCCCCAAGAAGCATGAGCTCCCACAGTGTCTGCACGAGGGTCAGCACGGGCTGCAGACACCTGGCCAGGTGGGGGGTGGTCAGAGGGCGTGTGGGGGGAAGAGACACTGTGGGGCACAGTCACGGGGCAAGGTGGGTGGGGCCATGAAGAGGACCAAGGGGGAGGTGGGAGGGAGCACTGTAGGGAGGGGACAGAAGACAAAGGGGGGCGCTGTGGGGGGGATTGAGGGGGAGGTTGGCAGGGGCAC